TGTTTGAAGAATTTGAGACTATTTTCATGAAAACTATAATAAATTATTAGAGGAAATTAAACCAATATTAACTTTGATGATAAGAGAAAAAGGTGGAATAAACGAATCTCCTAATGCAAGCATGGCCGGAAACTTGACCAAAATTTAAGGAGTTAAAAAAAGAAAAAGAAAAATGCAGTGAATAAGTGGAGAGAATATTTGGGGGGTGGCCGGAAACTTTGTCGTGGTGAGGTCTGGCCATTATCTCTGCTTTCTGGTGGGGGAATTAAGGCAGAGAAATAAGAAGAATTTGGGGTGTTATGGATGTTAGTTAAAAGAAGAGGAAGCGGATGATTAAATTCAGTTAGCAGACGTGAATGAAGCATGAGATGTGATTGAGGATATATATGGAGTAGAAATGCTTAAATAGAACAAAACGAGGTGGTACATTAGCAGAGTGACCCATAGAATTACCCACAAAAGAGAAAAAAAAAAAAAAATGGCAGACCCCAAAGTTTCCTACTGTGGTATATAGCTTGGCTGTTCTTAAATAAATGATGGTGGTGGTTTGAATGAAAATTTTCAACAAGACTATGGACCCATTGGCTCTTCCAGTTCTGAAGCTGCACGTGAAAATGAGCAGCTAGGGGCACTCGCCTCCTGCACTCTCTGGCCGACACTTTCACTTTTATTGGCCCACGTAATTTGAATCCCAAAAGGTGGAATTCAAAACCTTGAAACAAGCTTACGTGGCCCAATGAAAGTGGAAGTGCTCGCCGGAGAGTGCAAGAGGCGAGTGCCCCTAGCGCTGCTCATATCTTTTTGACACGTAAGATAGTGCTTGTCATTTTCTTCACTGTGGAAATTTAAAATTAGCAGCTTCAATGTAGGCTGAGGGTTTAATAATCTATATAATTTGTTCACTTAAAAAAAAAAGTTTAAATGATGTCAGGGGACCTGAATATCCTATCAGATGAATAATGTGTAATTGACTCTCTCACGCTCTCTGTTTGTATGGAATGGAATATGAATATAGTTTTCCAGATACAAAAAAAAAAACCCTTTACGGCATGTAAATTCAAATGGTTGAATTTGTTGTACTCTACGTTGAACATAGCTTAAATTGCAATATATATATATATATATTTCTTTTATTTCAAATAAATCTTTAGATTAAATTTTCACTCTTGAATTATGTGCTAAAATTTGCAAACTAAATATTTACTTATTTACTAAATTTATTTATGTATATTAATTTTTTGGTTAAATCTTTAATTTGGTCCTTCAACTATTGTATGAACTCCTAATTTGGTTCCTGAACTAAAAAATTATTTGATTTGATTCTTACCGTTTATTAATTTGGCCTTAAGTTGGTCCTTTCATTTAAAAGTAGATAATGTGTCTTATTATTATTATAACATGTGACCATTAAATAATGATTATTTGTTATTAAATAACAGACACATCAGTTATTTTTTTAATGAAATGATAAATTTGGAGCTAAATTCGTAAACAATAAAAAACAAATCATGGAATTTTTTAGTTTAGAAATCAAATCAAAGACCATACAATATATAGTTAAGGAATTGAATTGGGGTTTAACCTAGTTTTTTTTATTAATTTCTTATTAAAATACTTTAAAATATTAATTTTTTTTCAAAAGGGCAGGGGTGCCGTGGCCTGCTTTCTTTATTATCCTAGTCACTAAATGCAATAGCGACATATAATCAAATAAGAAGCAAACTCTCTACACTGAGAACATTTAACATATGTGATAAAATAAGAAAAAGGTTAAATGCTAATTTTGGGCCCCTCAACTTAAGGTTTTGCACAAGTTTTATCTTTCAACTTCTTTTTGCACTTTTTTGATCCCTTAACCATGAAAAATGCACTTTTAAATTGTAAAATGTTTAAGTGTATATATTCAAATATTTAAGTGTAAAATATATAGATATACGCAGCGAAGAAGGGTACCCCTTTGTGCATTAAAGGGGACGATGTAGATGAATGCTCACTGCGCCCTTTTGTTTGCTAGCCATGGCAAACACCCATATATTGTTGTCGTATATGGCTGGCATTACACCAAAATAAAGAATAAATGTGCTGCAATATCATTGTTCCAAGCCAAGCATAATTAGTCGGCGATATCTACTAACATGTAAAGCATGGAGGATATAAGTTTATGAGTTGGGATTACCGGTAATTGGTAATTTTGTCCTTTTGTGTGAAAGAATAATGATGCGCATGGCCGCCAACTATGTAAATATTGCAAGCTTAACCATAAATAGCTTCCTCATAGCCAAAGGGCAACAATGGCTACCTTTGCCTATGGTTGGAGCGTGAACTATGTGGAATCGAAAAAGCACTCCCACTAATTCACCAAGTCGTGAAGAGGTAAATCTCACTAAGCTAAACTCCGCCATAGCGATGAATTATGATAGAAAGAGGTGGAGCTGTCTTCATGGAAGAGAGACGCCAGCCGCATCCACAGCTTTCAATATGACAAGGTGAGATACCACTGACAAATGTTGACCCTTCTTGTTGTACCCGCATTGTCAGAGGCTGGTCTAGGTTGTTGTTGCTTGTTGGGCACTGCACCACCATGCATGGGCAACCACCAAGGGACCATCGGCTGCTACTTGATTGATTTTTATCGCTAGAGGGTAGCTGCCTCATTTGATCGTAAGGTTGCAATTGTTACCAGTCTCACTCTAATTGTACTGAGTTGCGTCAACTCTTTGTTCGTTTCTAGGAGCTAGTGAGATAAAATATGTGCAAGTTCGACCCTTTGTTGGTTGTTGTGAACCAATGTAATGAAGATATGTAGAAACATGTAGCGTTTTACCCATTGCTGGAGGCTAAATGAGATAACGAATCTGGCTCTTTGTTCATTGCCGAGGGCTGTGTAGATGTGGCCTGTTGTCAATTGATGGGAGCCATATATGTGTAGCAAAGTTGGCTTTTTATCTATTACTGTGAGCCATGAGATGTAGCAGTGAATATTGCTATAAAGGATATGAGCGTCGAAAAATGTCTAGCCATGTCATTGAAAGAGGTCTAGTCATGTCTGGTCATGTATATAAAAATAGATGTTAGTGTAGGTTGCATTTTGCAATGTTTTTAGTGAAGTAGATAAATGCCAATCTTGGTGATGTTGACTCTGTTGTAATAATCAGTAGAAAATAAGAATTGCATATCCGATGTAAAAAATAAGTCATGTGGGCCTTTACTGATGTGGAGCCGTACATGTCATCGATTCACGGTCATATAAATTCACCCCTCAACAAACATATTACAAGTAATTTTATTGGTTATATAATTAATAATTTTATGTGATAAAATATAGCATAAAAAATATATATTTATAATTTAAAAAGTTATGATTTAATTGATAAAAGAATTTGTTGTGTTCTAATTAGTAAGAAAATTTATTTTTCACCTTATTAAATAAAATTTGATTCTTTGAGAATATTAATAAAAAATAATTTATCAAAATTCTTTAATTCTAACATGAATAATTTGTTTTAAATTTTTGTTTTTTATTGTCATGTCATATTATTTCAGTTGCCACTAAAAAATTATTACCATTATTAAAATTCTAATTTTTCTTTTTAAATAGTATATTAAAAAATTAATTTATTAATTAATTTTAATGTATTAAGTAATCAATATTAATTATTTTATGAGTTATTAATTAATAATTATAGATATTAATTATTTTTATTAATTAAATTAAATAAAATTAATATTTTTAAAAAAACCTTAATATTTTTACTAGGGGTTACAACCGTGCCATGTTATATGAACCTTATACAAAAAAACACGAGCAAAGCACTTTTGCATTTGTGTAAAGTTAACAATTTTGTAATTTAGTCCACACAAATTGCATATTTTATAATAAAGGGATATTACTCTTGGATTAAAGTAACTGTTCCTCGTAAACGTAAGCATATTATAGATCAATTTTTTTTTATTTGTCTAACTTATATCTTTAATTTTATTAATTATAAATATTATATTTGAAAAGATTTAACTCATATCTTAAAAATACAAATTAAAATAATTCCTCTTTATTTTAAGGACTATTCATAATTTCACAGGCTTACATCATTGAAAAGAAAAAGAAGGAAAGTGCGAAGAAGCTTCCGAATTGAATTGTGCTTTTGCCGGACGGCTCGTCCTAACAACATGTGCTTAGCGAAACCATCCAACACCTTTTAATTTTGTTTTTGGTGAGCCACGGGCCGAGCATCACTCTATGTACCCAGAATTTTACACAGTTGTTTTGGACATCCTTGGAGATTATGCACATCAATGCGAGCTTCTCAAATGCAATTATTTTAACTTAATTTAGAAAACTATTGTGTGGAAATTCGAGGATATCAAGTTCAAACATGATTCCTAAAAATAATCAGTAGCATACAATATTAGATAGCGAGATAATTAGATGTAATGTCTTGACATCAAATATAATAACGCTTTGATTTATATTTGTTACCAAGGAGTGGACCTCAATACACACTTCTGAGCAGTATTGAGTCAGCGCTAAACCGAGGCGCCATAACCCACAGCTCTTACACACTTGCGGTGCACCTCGTACCCACAATCAAGACACTGGTAAGCCCAGCAGACTCCTGCTCGTCACAGTCACAGCATATGAAAGGCCTTCCTCCAGTCCCTTCCAATAACAATGTAAGTTCATGCCTACGCCCCGCATGATACGCAAACTTAGGTAAGTTCTTCGCCCCTCGTCCATCTCTTTCCTTGGCAGCTGGGGATATGCATTTTCCTGATACAAATTTATAAGATTCCTCCCCCGATTCATAACAGTTTTGCCATCAGGGCCTATGATTACCAAACAGGGGATTCCCTGCACATCAAAGTACTTACATAGACTTTTAATAGCAGCGTCCCCAAAAGGAAGTGATAGCCATGGCATCGAACCAAAGTAAGACTCGAATGAATCCTCATCACGGTCATTAGAAACGAAGACTATATATTTTGAAATCCTCACCGCCTTTCTCTTCCAGCAATTGTTTGATTTTGTGGTAGATTGATATCAGCTTGGGAGTAAACTTCAAGCAGGGACGGTACCATTGCCCCGAGAAGTAGAGTCCAACCGTCTTCCCTATCAAGGAATCAATAGGAACCTCCAAAATTTAAATAAACTTTTTGTATATGGCCTTTAAGTGCCAGCAGTCCTTTATAATTAAAAGATCCCTAAATTATACTATAACTTATCATTATGATTAGTAGTATGCTCTGGTATCGAATTTGAGCAACCTCCTCTCACCCTAAACTTTACTTTAGCCAAGAAAGAAAAATGTAACGAGAAAACTTACCTCTCAACCTTGAAAGAAAACTCACCTGATTAGTTGGGGGGATGACCCAAAAGATAGTCTCTATCATGGTTAGTGAGTAGAGTGGTTAATGTCTGGTTCTCATGTTTCAATTTCTCCTCCCTATGCAATTCCTCCAACTTCTCTTTAGTAAAAGGGAAGGCTTGGTCCCCATACCGATAAATGAGTTCCACTCCATCATACAATGTGGCTTCATCCTTGTTATCACCGGGGTGCAAAATAATCAAGCAAGGAATGCCTTCAACCTCGAATTTCCTGTTCAAGGCTTTCTTTGACTCCGAATCAGAAAATGGAACAGTCAGCCATGGCATGCACGCACGGTAATTATTGAAGGCTTCCAAAACTTCATCGGATGACACAAAAACAATCTCAAATTCAGACCCCTTGCTCTTCAGTTGCTTATAAACATCCGCTAGTAGTTGAGTGAAACTTCTACATGGAGAGTACCAATTGGCAGAGAAATAAAGGCCTAAGACCTTTCCTTCAAGATCGGGTACTTTCACCTATAACAAAGAAACCAATAATGTCAACTGTCTTTTGGTTGATTTCTCCCTTGGAGGGGGAATTTTGACCACTTCTGATACCTCAACATGTTGTTTAACCACTTAACTAAGATCTCATTGGCACAGTAAACATGGATTGATCATTGAAACAATGAAAATGTAATCAAATTGTGCATTTTTATAGAAAATATATATTATATAATTTAAATTATTTTAAATTTTATAATGTTAATTATTTAATAAAAACTAAACTTTTTAATATTAGAGTCTTCTCACATCTAATAATATTTATTCTAAAAGTTAAAACAGAGTTCCCATTTCTCTACTACCAATTTTCTTCGAAGGAGTTTGAAAAGGATTAAATTGTGTTACTTTAAAACTTAAAAATTTCGATTTGTTTTATATATTTTTATGGAGAAGACAAGAGTTTCGTTCCTTCAGGCCTGTGCAGAAGGGAGGAGCGAGGGTCAAACCATTGTCATGGTTTGAAAAAGGCCTTTTATAATCACCCCTAATTAGGTAGGACCTAATGGTCTAGTGGTTACTCCTTTGAAAAAATTGATTTGTTGGGACACTGAAGTTTTGGTTAAAATGCTGACACTAATTAACGTTTCTCCAACCCAATAATTTCCCCTGGTTCCTTTTTTTAAGTAAAAAAATATGTTTTTCTTTAAATTACTATTTAATTAATATTTCAGTGTTGTATACTAATTTGTCTTACATAAATTATATTATTAATTATTAATAAAAAATAAATGTTTAATATTAAAAAATTTGTTATTTCACCAATAGTTAAAATAAATTATGCTTTATTTTTATATTAAATAGTATTTTAAAAAATAATCAACTTATTAGTATAGAAATTTTATTTTATCATTTGCATTACATTAAATTATAAAATAAAATTTATTAAATTAAAAAAATTACACTTCTAATTTAATAATTAATATAATATAATTTAATATAATTCAAATTATACTATAGTATATACCTTTTTTGCCTTTGTTTTCTTTTTTTAATAAAGATAATTTAAAATAAAAGATAAAAAAAATTATAATATGATAATATTATAATTTAAATTTTAATTACTATTAAAATATTTAACATACCTATCAGGTAGCACACTAAAACCTTGCCGCTTGCCTTTTCCTTCTCTAGGACTACTAGTACTACTAGTTTCAAAAGATGATAATATATTATTTTATGGGAATTAGAGAATAATATCCTTC